TCCATTAAGACGTTTCCTTGCAAATAGTTTTTCTGCCCCAACCTCTCCTTTCATGATACAAAATGCTCTGCTGACACTGGAGCAGTATGCCCCAAAGCCTTACACTTACATCAGACAAGGTCAAATAGGCTGCAGCCAGTGAGACCTCACGGGAATTTGGGCACCCAATTACAAAAACTATGTCTTGGAGAGACATTTTCTCAGCTGAAGCCTGATCCCAGAAACAAGTAATCTCCTTTTCTGCATGCCCAAAAATGTCTGAGCAGCTTGGTGTCTAAGCTGAGTTATGATCAAGGAATAAAATATTTCTCCTCTTCTTTTCCCTGAGACTCCTGAGGCAGTAACCATTCTCAGAGCATATTTTCAGGATTCTCCTCCCTCCAAAAGATCGTGGTGGTCAACACTTTCTTTTGAAGTGCAGAATGAAGTAGTAGACCTTGTTCACCTTCCTTTTTCTTTAACCCCCCTCCCCACATTGTTTAGAGAACTGGTCCAGAGAGGTGGGTACCTGCTTTCCCTTCTCCATCTGCTGAGACTCAGACTCTTGAGGATGCCCTTAAGGAGTATTTTCCACCCAGCTGGGGACCAGATGTCCAGATAGCCTTGTCCCTCATCACACTTGCCAAACCTGGGCCAGCATTGCTTAGAAGACTATGTTACACATGCCCCATTTGAAGGATCATTGCCATAATGATTTCTTCTTTCTGTGTGTTCTAGTTAGTGGAGAAGTCTCTCAGGTCTACTCCATGCCCATACAGGCCATTTTGGTTAGAGATTGATGCATTAATGTCTGATGAGCAAATAGCAAATGTAGTGGTAATGATATGTGCTTCAACACAAGCTGTCCAAATACACAGCCCACGAATGGCCTTTCTTTTCTGCTGCACATCAGCTTGGTACTCAGACAAAATATGGACTATATACAAAGTTATAACAAATCCATCCAAAAAAAAAGGAAAATTCACAGATGCTCATTCAGTCTTTAATTTCTGTGCTAGTAAATTCATACTTCCCTGTGTGGTGTTTGGTCCCAAATGTGAGAATGATACAGTTTACTAGCTTTTCAACAGCAGCTGAAATAGCCAGTGATAAATGGATGTTGAAGAGCAGTCAAAGCAAGCAAGTTTTATATCTGTAATTGCAAATGGTAGCATGGGAAATGTGATTCTGAAACAACAAAAGAAAGATTTATGTCTCTAACGAAAACAGATCCAATGTCAGACCCAGCATAACTTCCCAGACAAGATAAAAACACAAGCATTATCTCCAGAAATTACTCAGTGAAATATTCTGAATAACAAATGCAGTTGACAAAATTGCTTGGGCAGTTTGCAAATAGGAAAAAAAAGGAGGATATAACAGATTTATTAATCATTATTGTTTGTGCATCTAGCCTTGCTAGCAATGCAATATAGTAAATTAAAGCACAGTCAAGATTTCCCCATACTGTTTGGTTATTGAACCTTCATCATAGTCTGAGGCACTGCTGCTTTTAGACCTGTCCTGCCGAGGCCAGCAGTGTTTCTGGGATCATGAAGTGCCAACACATAAGATCTGTGTGGTCTTCAGGAGGAGCATTCTAAGCACTGACCTTTGTCTTTGCACCTGAAAACTGATGGTGTGGGAGACATAACTGCAAGTGCATAAAGGCTTGTCTGTATGGCCTAGCCTAGATAGTTTACAGTTAACCCTAAGAGGGAAGGGGAACCCATGCAGTTGTGAGTTCAGGTAGCAGCACAATATTTTGAAGGACCACTGACTCTTATCTCAACCACATACCAAAGCCCAACACCCATCCGGTCCCTGGCTGGAGCATGTGGAAATCAGACCTCTTCCTTTGCTATGTGAAAGTGTCTTATACCATTGCCACCTTCTTGGATCTCTGGTTTGTCAGCACATCCAGCTATGCTGATTTAATCCTACTTCTGCCCTGAGGAGGGAGGGGACAAATTAAAATGTGCTCCTCCTTTTATTTGGCTGTTCAGTCATAGCAAACACAAAGTAACCGACCATACTTATCTAGACAAAGCCCTTCTCTTGGAGTTGGACAAAGATGTTTTTTCTCCTGAATTCCCTCACTCTCGCTTGTCAAACATTTAAGTGAATACTCATCTTGACCAGAAGGATAACAAAGCTTTTTCTCCAGGTGTCAATACATCTGGTGGAAAGATTGCAACATGAAAAATTCGTTCTGATTCTTTCCATGCTGGGAAAATTCTAAGTGTTCACTTAAGGAACACCCGTGCTGGGACAGGCTATGAGGCAAAAGTTTGGAGACAGAGCCACAAGGACTTTTGAATATCTTGGCCTTCACCATCCTGCCCATCTGTTCAAACTCTGCTCAGAACTGTGTCTTTAACTAAACAGTGACAACTTAAGACCAAAGTTTGTGATATTTAGATTCATATTAAGAAAATGTATGATTTGCAAGAGACAGGAATTGGGCAGGATTTAGATACTGATTCAGAGTCACATGAACACAGAGCCGCCCAGAGACTCTTTTTATTGTGTTTCCAGACTGTGCCACAAAACATAAAGATGGAGAACACTTTCAGAATACAGACAAAATCTGCTTGAGTCTTGTATATCCCCTGTGAAAGAAATACAGTTATTCTCAGCAGGGATTAGAGTCAAACCTTATTCTGTAGCTAACTCTCCCAGCCTGGCCTGAGTTGCCCCGTTGTGACCAACTGTCCTTAATTAATGAAAAGGAGCAGGCAGATACCCACTTTGCCAGCTCCATCATTACCTCCTTTCTATGGGTGCTGCCAGACTCTGCATGCATCTTTGGACAAGCCTCTGTCATGTCCAAGAAGTGGAATTTAACCTTCCTGGCAACCTAATCATGGCATGACCACAAACGAGGCCTTATAGCTTAGTGTTCTAGGGCACTAAAGCCAACCAGCCAGCTCACCCTTTGCATTCCATTTCTTTCAAAATGACACTGGTGTAATTGTCCTAGCTGGAAATGGAGGTGATTTAATGCCTTAAGAACTGAGTAAAGCTCTGTAACCTCGCTCCAGCCCTATTCAAGCACTATTACTAATCTACTGGAGTGAAGAGGACTGTGCGAGAGGTGCTTCAGTCCAGTTTGACAAAACAACTGTTAAATATCAACAGTAGTTAAAAACATGCTGCCAGTCAGCACCTGCTCCATCCTTGCTGCATCCTCCTAGACTCAGGCTGTGCACTACTTCAGGTCTCCCTTAGGGTTGCATCCCACCTTCCCCAGAACAAACATCATTTATCTTTCTTGAAGAATTTGCATCATCTCTGTGTTTTAAGGCTGAGGCAGAGCCCAGAGACTGAAATCGGGCTGGGTGCTGTGAGCAGGGAGCCTAACAGAGCCTGCCCAGCACAGCTTGCAGTGTGGTGAAGCAAGGCAAAGGCAGATTGGCTGTACACCGGCAATGTGTCTAGGGTGCAAGTTAATGCTGTTATTAATTAAATCTTTCTCCTCCCTCATGGAAACTCTCTGTCCAAGGATCCTCTGCAGTCCTCTTCAACAGCTTTGTGAGAGACATCCCATCACCACACTCCTTTACAGCACTAGCTTTTAAAGATGATCCCAAACGCTTCTATCGGTTAAAAAACAGAACACGAGATATTGTAAGTAAATGATATTAAGTAACTTCCTTTGCAGGAGGGGAAAGGGTAAAGCCTGAGGAATTTGCCCACAGCTTAAGCACTGGTATTGAGGTCTATCATTTCCCTACCAACCTTTCACACTGCTCTTTTTCAGGTCTAAATCAATCCCAACCCTCTATTACCCTTCACAGATACATCACGTAGAGCCCAAAATGACAAACGGACATTCAGACTACTTTGTTGGGAACAATTTTAAAAGATTTTTTCCTCCTCCATCCCAGATTATGTATGCAGTAGCTGTATACACAGACCTCTACCATTAGAGGTCTGTGTATGGCTGGTTGAGAAATAGGGTCACCCCATGATGCACTCCAGTAGCTACAGCTCAGTGATACAGCTCACCACTAAAGGAGAATTGTTGAGTGCCAGGTACACTTTGGCATATAAAACACTCCCCACCAAATACAGATCAAAAAAGGTAAAGTGAAACAAAAAGGGTACAAATGATCATGAGCGAAGCATTAAATCAGCTGGGGCTGGACTCCTTTTTCAACCTTATTGCAATACAGCTTCTGGAATAAAAAGATTGTGTTGAATTAGTGCAAGTGGAAAATTGGTTCGACCAAAAAAAAAAACCACAAAAAACCAAAGAAAAGCAGGGGAAGGAGGGAGCCAAGTGGGAAAGATTCTTTGAATAATCTTTTTTTTTTCCCTTAATTGGAGAATTGGAAAAGTAAATTAAGAGGTTGGCAAATTTTCATCAAAACATTTCAATAGTCAAAGCCTGAATTCTGGCTTAAGTTTTCTTTACAAATGACCATACCCTCTGAAGAAATGTCAATAATACGAGAAAAAGTTGATTTCGTTTTCATTTTCCACAAAAAAGCCGCATCTTCAGTGCAACTCTCATTTCATTCTGTACCAGTCACAGGCTCTATGGGCAGATATTTTCTCCCTCAAATAACTCTTCTCCATTAAAACTTTCTTGGGGAAGAAGGAATAAGACAAAGAAGGATAGTAATGGAGTCCCAATAAGGGGTAGGACAGAAGAAAAGAGGATGAAAGTACCCAGCAAATTGACAGAGAGAGAGAGTAGGAAGTGTGAAAGAAAGAGCAGTGTTGTTTTTGTCTCCCCCTTTTCATTACAGTAAGTTTAATTTTCTTAATCCATTATAGAAAGCTCAACATGCTTACGGTTTTAAGTGGTAAAGACAAAGCCTGGGAAGGGAAACAGAGTAAAGTAAGTTGTATTAGGTCACAGCCTGTTTCATCTCCTGAATCCAAGCCCACACCTTTCCGTACAGTACTTTAGCTTTTACTGTCATTAACTGATCTGCTGCCCATTAGCTTTCTAAGCAGCCTGTAACAAGATAACAATATAGATACAGAGAGATATCTACAGCCCACACAACTTTTCAGTTAGCCAAAGGAGATCTAATATTTTGAAAACTTCTACCCACATACAATAGTTCAGAACAACACTGTTTGGAAACAGAGGGTTCAGGAACAGGGAAATGTTTTCAGTAAAAAATTTTCTCTTCTATATTTCTTTCAGAAGAAGACATTTTTACAGACAACCAAAATGGATTCATGCCCTGTTTTCCTTGCAAAACATTGTTTCTACCCTGAAAATACATGTCAATTTTTGGTAGAGGCACTTAGCCTGTGCATAGTATTGACTATTTTTTCCTTAATACGCCTATGCAATTTATCCCTCAAGATGTCCTTATCACAAAACCATCCAACCATGCAGGGTAACTGAAATACTATGAATGAAAACAAATATGAGAGTTTTTTCTGGGCCACCCCTTGCCCTGCAAAGCTCCCTTAATCCTGCCTGTGCAGATGGAAAGCAGTCTGACACTGCTGCCAAAGAAACTTTCAGAGCTGCTAGCAGAGCTTGTTGGCTGTCAAAGACCTGGCTTCAATGCTACTGGACAAGTGGGCACAACAGGGCAGCATGGGAGTGCTCTAGGCACTGAGTATGTACCAATTTTTGGAGGGCAAAATAGTTATAAAACCTCATTGCTGCTTGGCTGCCTGGCTGATTCAGGTGCATCCCTGCAAGCTCTGGTGGCTTGTGAAGTACGTGGGTGAAATGTTTGCTTTGTCCTTGACTCTGCCCCGTGAGCACATGGCAAACATCCCTGGTACACTGGGTTCCTCCTGGAAAGGGTACGCTCCATTCTCCTGAGAGCTTGGCAAGGAGCAGCAGTGAGCTGTGGGCATTTGTGCCCAGCTCAGCTGAGTGACATGCCTGTGGCGCTGGTGCCCAAACCTGTGGCTCAGGGAACAAACGAGGCAGCAGGCTGTGCTGGGGACACCATCACCCTGACAGCTGGGTGGCCTTTTACGTCAGGGACAGCCCTGCTCAGAAACCAAGCAGGGAGCTTTTCTTTCAACCTTTGAACAGTCCTTTGGCAGAGAGCTGAGTGTTTCAGTACACAACTTCTGGAGTCTGGAAGTAGTTCAGATCTGGACTACAGCATGCAGAGACACCTTTAGAGTCATAGGGCATGGGGACTGTGTATGGTTTCAGTAGAAATCTTCTAAGCAAACTTGCTTCTGATTTAGTGTTTCCAGACTGCAAAACGTAAAAACATAAATCATCCAATTAGCCATAGAAAGAATTCTAGGAAATACCTTTCAATGTTTTACCAAAATCCCCTGTTATTTAACTGCATTTTCCTCCCTTTTTTTCCCCCGCAAATATTGCAGACGAACATACATTTCCCAATAAGATTTCAACAGGTTTTCACAGAAAGTGAATTTACCACTCCTGGCTGTGGGTACTTTTGATGAAAATCTCAGGGTTGCAGTCATGTAGCCATGGAAGAGAAATGACATTTTGACTATCTAAATGCTCATAGGCAAGCTATAAATAAATGATTATACACAGAAACTACAAGCAGCATTATTTCAAACAACAAACACATTCAAGAACATCCAGGCAGGCTCACAGACAGTTTGCAAACAGATAAAAGGCCAAACACTTCCATTCAGTAACTTGCTGTAGATTATTCACGCAGCTCTAATAACAGTCCCCTGTCTCCATGAGACTGCATCAGATGCAGTCCAAAACTGGGATGGTTGTGAAAGCTTCCACTCTATCACTATGAAAACCCAGAGTCCAAGCTGGTTGTTTTACCCATTCATTTCTACAAAACAAAAGAAAAGGATGGGATTATCTTCACAGAGTTTGGTTTGGAGTTGCTTCATTTCAGTGGTATGCAGATATTTTCCCTGTGGTTTTGCAGGGTGACCAGGAACACCTATTAACTTTAAAAGAAAAGCACAAAATCCCTGCAAAGCTGCAGTTTTGTTTGGTTAGGTACAATTTTTTTTCATCCTATTTCTGTTTTTTATGTTATGACAGCAAACACAGCTTGCAACAAACATTGTTTGGAAGCTGTAAAAAACCAGTAATTGCTGCTGATGGGTGGCTGGTTGCACAGCTATGACAAATGGCCTCCCAACGGCTACACTTAATGCAGCCACCAGGCTCTTGGCCAAACCCCCTCAGCAGCTCACTCCCTCCCACCAGCACTCCTCAGAGGTGGCATCCACCTCCCAGCTGTTCCCCTTTCCCCTGCTGATGCCATGAAATACTTCCACACCATGCCTGGGCCTCAGCCAGCTGGGATGCACACCAGAAACATCCATCAAGCAAGAGCAGCAGGCACTCTCCCACAACGTAGGGAGCTGAAAATGAGCCCTGCCAGCCTTTGGGGATTCCCAGTGGGGCTTCTTTTGCTAGAGGTAGTTGAGGATATTCATTTCTCTGGTTCAAGCCCGTCATCTTCATCCTTCGTGGTCAGTGTGGCTAAAGAAAATAGTTTAGGCTGGTGGCATGCACTGCTATTCACCTTGAAATGCTCCTGTCTTTCTCCTGGATTTGTTGGTCACAGCTTCACATTTTCCATGAAGCAGAGAGTGGTTTGACCTCCTTCAGCCTGGGGGTTTTTTAGCAGCAATTCGTCTACATGACTGTCATATATGGGTCAATTTTAGAGCTGAATGACCATATTACCATAGCCCTGGACCCAAACTCACATCACTGGCTCTGCTCTTCACACCTAAGCAGTTCAACTATAGTGCTTCTATGCTGGCTCTGGTTAAAGCCTGGCCCACTCAGCAATGCTGACAGAGGCATTGCTTGAAGGATTTGCTAATAAGCCTGAATTAAATGCTACACAAGCTTGTGGCTTTTTGCTACAAGACAAAAACTACGATGTGTTTGAGCACTTAAACAATGCATCCATGCTGCCAACCAGCCTGCCAACAGTGTCCAGGGGCCTGCCCCTCAGGGCAGGCATACGAGGGGATATGTAAGTCATCAGGGGTCAAGTCAAGGGTGCACATTTGTCCAAGTCAGTCGTACAAAACTTTAGCTTATTTTTTGGACTCGCATGGGTGAAACCCAAAGGTATCCTTTCACTGCATGTCAGCTGGGCTGGTAGAAGAGCAGGAGAAGTGCAGGTGTGGGAAGGGCTGACAGAGACGTGTCCTGCCTCAGCCAGCTCCTCTGCTAAAGGAGCACAGCACATGCAAGGCACTTTGAAAAAAGGCTGTTTATCTAAGCAACTGTTCTGCATTTCCTCCATTTCTCATACCACTGGCTTCAATGAGCCTACCTTACATGCTATATGGGAGAAATCTATGGTAGTTCTCCACATCCAGGAAGGAATACCATGAAGTCATTACTGTCTGAGGGCTGAGCTACCTGCCAGCCCAGGTAAGAGTGTGCATAAAGATTTTAGCCCATGGGCTCAGCCAGTTCAACTTAAGAGAGCTGCCATGGTCAGGTGAGGAGATCTAGAGTGCTTGCAGGAAAAACCAAATTGTATTACTCTAGAAGGGGCAGGGGCTTCAAGGTCCCTCTTTTCTCCCACTAGCATTTTGGAATACTTACTGTCCTCCCAGGACAATATTGCCTGAGATGGTCATGACTAACTTGCTCTGATCAAGGGTGAAACTTCTGCAAGGAGATCTATCCATCAAAGCAGCCTCACTTGCATGGATACCATTACATAAGGGTGGAAACTGTCCTGTTCAAAGTCATACCTATATATGAGGCAGAGGCTCACGAGTTGTTCCTTGGGTCTATTGCTTTGTGTTTCAGCAAAGACAGTCTCTGGTAACATAGACTAGAAAGTGCCCCATGTGTTCCAGCAGAGCAGGCAGCACCATTAGAGAGCACAATTGCTTGCTCTCCAGCAGGTCTTTGTAAAAACGATGAAGCAGGATATGTTAAAAACATGTTAACTTGCTGAGATTGCTCTCAAGTTCCTGTTAGACCTAGACTTTTACCAGCTGGCCTGTTTTAAAGAGAATCAAATTACATGCCAAACTGTGTTTAAAATCTTAGGCAGGCCAATACATTTTCTAATAGGGCTTGTTTTCTTCCCTGTTGTCTACCTCTTACCTACTGGAACAGAAAAAACAGTTTTAGCTCAAGTTGCAGGATTACTGCATCAAAACTCATTTTGGGACCACATAGGAGACAGACTCCTCATTCACTGCAAAGTGAAAAAAGAGAGAAGAAGTGAGGAAAACAGAAAGTGAGCTCTCAGGAACATCATGTCTGTTGTCTTGGACTGGGGCTTCACCTCCTGCCCACTACTGACACAGTAGCTGCTTCAGCTCAGGTAAGTCATGGACATGTAAACAAACAAAAAAGACCTACCTGAAAACATTTCAGACCTTGAAGTTCTGGGATAAAGAAGTGGGAAAAGTTTTTCACTGCATAAGTCACCAAAGTTAGTTCTTTGTTTTGTTTTAAAGCCATCTTTGCTTAACTATTGCTCTCCTAAATGATGAACAGCCATAAAGGCACCACTGCCATCCATCGTGTCCTCTGCCTCTTGGCCTGGAACATGGACAGCTTTTGTTGAACAAGCACTGGGCATATGGCCTACTCAAATAGAAAACTCTTCAGAAAATGGGAAGTTTCCAAAATAAAGTCCTAATTGTTGAAAAAAAATCTTGATAAGCAAATGTTTTCTCACAATGACTATCATAAAAATGAAAGCCTTGCAGATGAAAGTTAATAAATGTTAGGTTTAGACCAAAAATATTTTATGAGGAAAGCAGGCATTTTCTGGAAAATACTCATTTAGCTGAAAGCATGATTTTTCAATCAAAAAATTAACAGTGAAGCAGCCAGGCAGAGCAAATTCACATTACAGTCCAAATACTTTCTTTGTATGTCAAGAGAACTGGAGACACAACAAAATTACCTGTAAGATCAGCAGCAATAGGTTAATGCGTAACACAGGGAGGCTGTTCAGGAGCTGCCATACAAGAGAAACATCTCCCTCCCCAGACAGCACACACCAGCTCTTCAGTGGCAAAGCCAGTGCCAGGCAGCAGGATGTTTGGACAGTTTCAAAGCAATAGAACTACACTGAATAGCAAACAAGTTTGGACAACACAGATCGACTCTATGTGGAGCTCTCCTCCTCCTCCATCACATCCTTTGGCCAGCAAAATAACAGCTGCTCCAGAGATGTGGAGGGAGAGCTGAGTTTTGGAGCATAGCATCACAGGGGTTGGCACTAAGTGCTTCATAAACTGCATGGGCAGCATAAAATATGCAAACATACTCACACAGGGAAACCATGTGATGTTGCTTAGGCATTCCCAGTCCAAGCAGCAAGCTCCAGGTCCCAGAGGAGGGAGGGAGGGAGGAAAATGAAAGTGAACTTTTCTTTCTGAGCTGCATTAAGTCTCCTCCCTTCCTCAGCTCCAGGACTGAACACAAGGCTCCCTCTGCTGAGTCTGCCACACAACTGATGTCTGCTGGATCCAGCATACTGAGGGAGTTTCCAAAACCCTCCTATCTCCTACACCTTCAACTCACCACCTAGACAGGCAGCAAACCATGGAGGATCTCTAGCCCTTCCACAACTGGGGAAGAAAGAGCTGGAGGTGTAGAAAAGGACAACACAACAAATTTTTCTCAGATAAATGTGTATGTGTGTATGTATATACTATGCCAAGAACACTTACACATCTCCAAATTCTATTAAAGATCATTGGTGCAGTTTCACTGAAGGATGCTCACTCAGTCAGCCTCAGTGCCTGGGCTGTGGAACTGCAAGCAACTGCTCTAACACTCCTCTGGTTAACTGCAGAGATGCTATTACCAAGACTGGGATAAAACAATCCCTCAGTTTTAAGGCAGATGTTGGAGACTTCTGTATCAGATGTAGGACAAGTGTTGTCCCAGCTAGAAGCTGAAACATGGTATGAACTGGCAATTTTATTTTGTGATTCTTCCATGTTACCCCAGGAAAATAAAAGAAAAAAATCAAAGTTAAAAAAAAGTAAGAATGACCTGCTGTATATATAGAGCTCTTTTTTTCTCGCTGTTACATCACTCCTCACTTGGCTACACATCTTCTTCATAAATGTACTCTTCTGGTTTCAGAGCCTTACATTTCTACATATCCTTCACTTCCATCCCTCTCATGTCATGGTTATTCAAAGCACAGCCCTTTTCCACCACTAAAAAAAAGCACCTTACACTTCCCCAAGTACATTCTTATCTTTCCATACCCCACAGAAAAAATTGAAGTTACACTATCCATTCCCTGTTTCCTTCTTTAACCGCGCCCAGGTCTTCTGGTTTCCATTTCTAAAGTAATCTAGCTAATCTCTGTAAGAAAAATCTCGTGCCTAAGCTTGCCAGGAAATCCAATTGAGGCATTAAGCCCCATATTAGATCCTCTTTCTCCTTAAGTCAAGCATTTGGTACCCACAAGTTAAGTGGATTAATCACATGCTTTCTATAGGGTACAGTACAAAAGAGTAAAGTTCCAAAGTACTGTTGCCCATAAGAGCAGTGCTGCCCAGATTTCTGTGTCCTGCACTCATCCCTCATGCTCAGAAATGTCAAGATACATTTTCAGAAGGTGCTGTGGTTTTTTATTATTTTATGAAGGCTATTTGAGCAGATGAGTGATTCATGGTATTTTTTGACAAGCTTTCTGATACCTCTGTTCCTCAGCTCCAGACCTTCAGAGCTCAGTGCTGCAGCAGCAGACTGTCTGTAAGCTGAGCAGGTTTTCCCCTCAAAATCCATCCACACAGCTCCATAACCAGAGAGGAAGATTGGGAGCAACATTTTTGCCCATTCCCTGCCCTGCAGCCAGGGTGAGCAAGTCTCCTCTGTCTCTAGCCCTCCCTCACTCTGTTTCCAAAACACACACTAGCTTAAAATGCCAGGTCTGGAAATTTAACAGTAAATAGTAATGTTTATGCCCCTATATTTTGGCAACACAGTAACAAGATAGCAGACAATATCCCTGTCCTTGAAATATTTATACTGCCAGCATGGCTGCAAAGTATTCCTATCTGTATCTTAAAAAAGAGGGAGCTGAGGCACAGAAGGATTAAAGGCTATAGTTAGACCACCTACCAAGGCATCTGTAAGAGACGTATATTTCTGTGATTCAAAAGACTGAGGGAGTGTTTAGACCTCCTGTTGCCAGGCCTTGGCTCCCTACAAGAAGTCATTAAAAAGAAGCAAGAGTTGTATTTGGTTCCCTTCTCTGAGTAGCTTAGCACAATGCAACACACCACCTCATTCACCATATAAAAAACTTGTCTCCTGCCTGGAGAGCAAGAGCTGAGAACCTCTCATTGCTCCTTTTAGCCCAGATCCTGGAGCTCATCTCCCAGCAGCCACAGCTCAGCATGATTCACCACATGGCGAGTGCTGGTAGGAACAGATTCAAACCCCATCTACCTCTAACTCAGTCCTTCACTGTCAGTGACATTTCATTAGCTTGCCACTTCAGGAACAGGTTTTGCACAACACAGCCCTGTTGCACGCAGCCACTTCCAGCCCAGAGCAGAGTAACCTTCACCCATTCACTTACTTAGTCTAGATCTCGAAAGATAGTCGCCATGGGTTTCACAGCTTGTTTATAAAAGCAGCATTGCTCCTTAAATATACTCCCCAGCTGTCTTTCCAAGCCAGCAAAGTGGTCTTTCTTGCAGGTCAGTCCAAAGAGGGTAAGAACACAGACACTGGACAAACATCCCGATCCTGGGGCTTATCTCTGCTCCTACTGCATTGTAATGGTTTGAATCAGGTGTAAGACAAGAAATGTGTTGTAGCCCTGGGGCACCAGAGGGTGACTGTTACCGGTTTCATTTACAGATGAGGAAGCCAAGGCTTGTGAGGTGAAGCCATCTACCCAAGGCAACAACATATTGGCAAAGCCAGGATGAGGTGAGTTTGTCTAAAACAGCTGGGGGAGATATCTACAATGCTAAAGAAGTCAGGAGCTCAGTATGGTTTAACCAGTCACTAAACTCCCTCCTGCAGTTTTCCACAGTGCACAGCCCATGTGTCGGTGAGGTTACTCAGACTCACGAAGGAAAAACGCTCCAAACATCACTTCTCTTTGTCACAGTATTGTCCTTGTACTCCAAGGACACAGATTCCAGGCATATTGCCTAAAAAATGTACAATCCAGTGTAAATGGAAAGGTAGGATTTAACCTTAAATGAGCAGAACACTCACTCGGTTATAAGCAATACAATCCAGAGGCAACTCTGATAAAAGGTAATCCCTTTCATCCCAAGAGACAGCTATGCACCAATACATGCCATAGCCAGGTGTGCTTTGCTAGCGAGCCAGAGCCCCACCTGCAAGAAGCTTAATCAGCTCTCCCTGCGTTAACTTGGGTCTCACACTGCCTTGGTGGTTTTCTTATCATTCCACTGCTGATGTCCTGAGGCTGGTTTCATTTTGAGAGGTAAGAAGAGAGCTTTTAGCTCTGTCAGGGTCGCAGCAAAATCCTGACCCAGGCATTTAGACTATGGTGGCAGAAAGGAAAAAAGGTGTAATTTGATACCCACCTTTTAAACCTTTTTGAACCAAGTTCACAGTTCAGGGGAGGGCTGAGCACTTCGAATGAGTAAAGTCTGCAGTGTTAAATCTACAGTCTTCTTCCACAGGAAAAAAACAGTCACGTAATCTTCCTCATTTCACGAAAGAGCCCACTAAGGATACTTCCTTCCTCTCCTTTTCCCTGAAGTGCTCACAGGCTAAATGACACACAGGAGAATATACAGGAAAAAAAGGTCAGACGGTATTAACAACAGGGGAGACATCTATCTCGATTTTCCTTTCCTGAGAACTTAAAAGTTCTCATAACTTCATTGCTACAGAGCACCAGCTAGGAAAAAACAGTGCAGCACCACTGATTTCAGTGAAACTTTGGTTCATTCAGAAACCAGGACTGGTATGAGCAGAGGGGGGTTTTTATTATGCTCGTTTGGAAGAAGAGAAATAGCATCGTCATTGTGAAACGCATGCTGAATTTCATCGGAACAGGCAGGCCCTGGAGGAAGAGGTAGCATGAGACCTGGGTTGTTGAGGTGAGAGAGAGAATTCATTTCATGCCCCAGCACAAGGTTGCTAGCAGTGAACTGGGGCCTTGTAGGTTTAAAGCCAGTATGCACACACAGAGTATGCACAGTAGTTATGTGGCTAATGTGCCCTTCTTATTTCAAAGGTGGCAACCCAAACCCAGCCTTAAATATAACCCTAACCATATATAATATTATATATAATGCATTTTAATCTGCTACAAGTATGGTCCCTCAGCATCAACATATTTACATGCCTGGCCACTTCTCAGCATAAGTAATACCTCGCTTGGGCTTCATTTTTCCTCCTGTGAACTTCACATCTGATAAGCATTAAAATCCGGTCAAAAAACAGAAAAACTGCTCCTGCAAGAATAATCTTGTCCTCTGTAGAGACTCCTTGTGATTCTTGGCTCCCTTTCCCAGCTACAAAGCTGGGGGACAGGCAGAGGTGAGAGATGATAAATTTTACCCTCAGATGTTGATGTCAGCAGGATTTGCATATGAGGACAGAAGTGAGCCTGGTGTCTTTCTGATCACGGCATTCCAGATGTCTCTTGAATCAGACAGGACTCTTGGTTCAC